TCCATTGAATGGTCCGAAATGACAGGAACTATTTAACTATAACGGTCGACTTATACCAGAGTGGGAGGAGCCTATTTGCTCATGAGCGCTCTCGTGAGAAGATTCCATTGAATCGGCCGAAATAATCGCAATGATTTGATCGATTTGTCTGTTTCGCCGGCTGGTCGCGATTCGATGATGCAGGGAACAGTGCCCACTCGCATTCTAGCGTAAACATTGTCGCAGTTCTATTCGATATAATGTCGCAGGCGAATAAACACCACGCGCCAACACGGTCCCGCGCGTTGTGTTGCGAATACGCGGGGCGGTCTATTTGCGGTCTGTATTTCGATCGATGATGCAACCCCCTCAAGTTTTTCGCGTGAAATGTCATTCAGCTTTGGTATGCTTCTGTCCGGATATCTCAGAACTGTATCTACTTTGCTATAAAAAGTTCGCTGAACAGAGAGTACGTTCTATTCCTGATTGATTACTAGATATAATAGGTCTGGTGTAATATACGTATACTCACGTGCAAACTCGGCTTCCACTAGGGGAAAAAGCGGCGTAGAAGAAAAGTCCCCTACCAGTTGGTAAATTTATTCCAGGTACTGAAATAATTGTCACTTTTTCCCCTAGCGGAAGCAGAGTTTGCTTGCGAGGGTACCTGTCGACAGTCTTGTCGGGAGACACATTCGTATACAATACATTTTTATTGGGTGTACCGATAACAAGTAATCCAGTATTTTTACTTTATAAACTGGCAACACATTTGAAATTTAAGGAGTAGTTCTCATGAACTTAATCAGTCGATTAGTAAGTTATCTTGTACGCCAATTTCGAAAACATTTTTTCCCTTGTTATTTAATTATTAGTTAATTTCAATTCATTATTTAGTAAATTTTCAATGTTCCTGATGGAAGGATATTTGAACAGAAGAATAAATAAACAGAAAAATTAACAAAATAAATCTAGGTCCCTCGACCACCGAAATTAGACATTCTGTTCCCGAAATCGGTCAGACGATCCAGTAAATTCCGATAAATCTCAAAAGATACTATCTCGTTGTTGATCCAACGTTAAAACGACGGGGTAAACGATCTCATTCATAAGCTTTATAAATAACGGTGAGCTTATCATCGCCGAAAGTAATAAAATACGAGTATGTGTGTCGTTTGCTCGAAGTTAGAACCAGTTAACGCCAGAAACCACAGGCGATGCACGCCTAGAATCACGATCATTGTCAACCTTGACCTTAATTCGAACAGTTTCGCATTTGGATTCCCGTTTCCTTGGTAGCCCGTTTCGAAAATAAATTATTATTTCTGGCCCCCTCGTTCCAGATACGGTTGCCTACACCATTTATCTGTTTCGTTCATTCATTCGTCTATTACCCGACAGCCATTGCGACGCTGTCTCTCTCCCGGGATCTTTTATACCGGCTCCGCGAGCGTATGAATTTATCATTGTGCAATCTACTTTCGTTACACTGTTTGATAACGGGGACATTCTCGATCTCAAACAGTCTTGCTAGTTCCGTATATATACCATGGTAGAACTGACATTTACTTAACCCCTTGAATGTTTTATTTCATTTCGAAAACGTGCACTTGTGTGCTTAATTATTTTTCAGTTGTGACAAGTGCATTCTACAGAAGCAGAGTAAATTGTGTTTGCTGTGAAATTCAAATAAATTCTAGACTAATGACAAAATTACTCCTGCGACTTGATTGTCATCTACAGACTCTCGATTATCGTCCGGCTTGTTCTACACGATTATTGTCCAGGCGTTATCCCCACCACTGGAGGGGGGGACGTGGAACCTGTCAAGTGCATACTTTGTTGCCTTTTCGCTTTTATTGCCGAGGCTTGGGCTTCAGGCAAAAATCGAATTTACGAGGGTCTGAAACATTTCTCCCTATATGATTATTGTCCCGGACCGGACTCGAGTTCGGGACGATAATCGAAAAGAGTCTGTATTATCAAAAAAGGAAGTTACTGCCTTCTCAAACAGCCCTCCTACACTGACGAGCAAACTTGGCTTCTGCTAGGGGAAAAAGCGTCATAGGGGTAAAGGCTTCCTATCACTTCGTAAATTTATTTCAAGCACTGAAATAAATGTTAAACCGAATGTTAATTTGGTATAAATTTTAGCAACTCCGAGATCAAGTAATAGGAGGTTTTTCCCTTAGATAACTTTTTCCCCTAGCGGAAGCCGAGTTTGCACGTCAGTGTACATATACTGCTAAATATTGCTTTTTTCAAGTGATTGTTTTTCTTCATATGTTTTCTTTTCTGTCCTAAAATGTTCTAAAATGTGTTAAAATTACAATTTTTTTTTGTTTTCCTAATATTTTACTTTAAATAGCAAATGTAAATTTTGTTTGTTTAATCCTTTAACGCCCAGTGTTGCACCAATGCAACGCTCATTTTAGAAGTGCGTGAAATTCTCATGCCAGTTTGTCTGCAAGTTTCCCTAGCTTCACTGATGCAATGTAGGTCTCCACGTTTTTAATTGAGAAATTGAAATATTTCCCCGACAATAAATAAAAGACAAAAGAAAAAGATGAAAAACAAATAGGTCTGTTTAATGTCGATATTTTCGACTTCAAAATAATAAAATAGAACATAGTATATATTACTCTCATAACTTTAACACTAGGACTACCAAGCAAGTCAAAATAACTTGTCAATACACTCTTACAACGACGATTAAAAGGTTATGACAATATATTTTCTCAGATCTTTTGCACCTTTTATTACGATATGAAAGTGAAGAAATTAGTTCATTTCTAAATTTCTAAATATTCAAAAGTTTTTCACAATTATCCACCGATCGAAGCAAATATGCGTTTATCGTCGGTAGTTCTAGTGTTAAAAGAACGATTTAAGGGTCTGAGCGTTAAAGGGTTAATGACGAGTATATTCGTCATTAAACAAAAAACAAAATGCCATCTTTTCATACGAGTATTCTCAACATAAACATCGAAAGGGATAATACTAGGTGGTCCCAAAAAGTATTGTCGGATTTCTGCAGTAGCAGAAACACTGCTCCTGATTGGTTAAAGCGTACGTAGCGTTTTGCACTCTCCCCGAAATTCACGCCTGAAGTCGATAAGAAACGACAAAGAGTGTATCAAAGATCAACGTTGCCAAGGAAAAAGAAAACCAACAACATACAAGAGAAAAATCGAACCTGCATAAATAATTAATTAATTCCGCTCGGAACGAGAACAAACAAAGGGAGGTGGGGGCGGATGTTTACAATCTGAAACGCGCGGAGCGTATAATGGAAAAAACACTAGTTTAATTTCTCGCACGTGATCACGCCGGGATACGCGCAACGAACTTAACGAGCAAAGTCATTCGCGTGATATGCCGTGGATCGTTGCACGTGACACAAATAAATGGAGCTGCTTGAAGCCACGGGAAGGGGTAGGCAGAAGACGGCCAGCCGCGGATCGAAGAGGCGGCCGTCGACGCGATAATATACTTTCCCATCGATCACGGTTAACGGACCTGTGATGTCGATCGAAGGAGCGAGGTACCTTTCCTTAGGGTATTATTCGAGTCAGAGGAGTCGAAAACAGAACTGAAATCGAAGTACAGTTGACTAGGGTATGTGTCCCAATTACGGAGGCTTTAAGACAGTATGCGCAATCATATATATTAATTAAAAATAACTGCTGCGTGAAATTCATATTCGGAAAATTAATATCCGTTGCTAAACAATTCCTTTTAATGAAGGAATTTATTTTAAATCAAAAAATTAAATCTCTGCAATGTATTTAATTAAGTGAAAACAGATGTTTTTGTCTGTATTACGGAGCCGTTTCAATAGCTGCAGATGTATTTCGGTGGCCCCAGTTTCGGAGCCTGTTCACGCGTCAGTGCCTCCGTATTACGGTGTCTTTGAATGTCGTTCCTAACCTAACTTTTGTGAAGTAGGGCTATTTTGTTCCAAATATTGTTGGATCGTGGTAAATCATTTATTATAAAAAAATAGGTAATTATGTAATGGATTTAATTGATGTAATATTTACTATAATTCACTTTTGGTTTCACGAAAATGAGGTTATGGGGGAAGACCAATGGAAGGTCCGTATCACGGACAAGATTGAAAATCTCGCGGTATTACAGAATTTACTTAAAAGGAAAAAATTAAAATGTTTGTAGGTGCTGAATGTCTTTTTTTTTAATTACACTAAACCTTTTAGGATATAATATGCAGTTTATACGGTGCGCGACTTTTGTATGCGAGTACTTCATAGAGTTTCTGGACGAGAAATTCTATACAATTACCGAAAGCGTAATGCATATATTTGAATAAATACTTATAACATTATAACATGTTAAAATTGTCGTTTTTTACTTTGAATCTTATTTTGTTAATGGTTAAATTTAATTACAAAATTTTGTTCATATTTATTTATACATGTATTTTTTTTAATGATGATTTTAATACAGAGGCTCCATAATTGGGACAAATTCTCTATTCCGTATCCGAGCTAATTTAACCCCCTTGGACTACACGGTTACTGGGTCTATTTTAACCAAAGATTTGAGTTTTTGAAACTTCACTCGTCATTTCAGCTTAAACTAACTAAAGCATATACGGCTGTTTCTAAGGTGAACTTGTCGAAGAACTACCTCCGCCCCATTTTAGTACGAAATTTTGTGTACACAATTCTTTATACGTTATATTTTCATTAAGTAAAATGAATAAAGTGGCAGTATTAGGGGCACTGGCAGTAATTGGGACATTTACTCTAGGGCCGATCAAGATTTTCGTGAAAGGAAAAAGTTGTTCAGAATGTCGATTTGTCAAACATATTAAAAAATCTTTGAAATCGATGAGGAAGTAGTTTTTAGAATAGTGTAAACCAAATGCGATTCGGTCGAAGATTTATGATTAAGTCATGGTTATGACAGTATAATAATAATTAATAAAAATATTGTCTCAGCTACTTCATAGCATGAATTCTTCGGTTTTCGGAAGAGAAAAGAGGATTTTAAGTTACCTGACCGAAATGTGTACCGGGTCCTTGCGCGCACGGGGGTATCGCAGCCTCTTGGAAGAAAATACTGAGGGCAGTCTGAAAAATACAAGAAAAAACAAAAATTAAATTTAAAAAAAACAGCATAACTTTCTTCGACGCAATGTTCAGCATTATTAGATGTGTCGTACATTGCGCCGTTTCCCTCAATTATATAAGTTTTAGCTATAACAGCAGTTGCCGGGTCAATCCCATTATGTGCTGAACGATAAATTTAATTATATACATTCAATAGTAATAATATTTTTTACATTTGTTCATTGGGATAAACACTTGGAAGCACATACGATATTAAGAGGATGATTATCTATTCCATTAAACTGTTATTAAATTATACTTAATATTATCTTCTTTTTTTTTTCTTTTTTTTTACCCTTGATCTACATGTAAATGGTAGACCTTAGGATAGTGTTCAAGGAGATCTCTCCCTATTAATATTATTATTATTCTACTCCTTTAGAGCAAAACCCATCGAAACTTGTGCACTCGCCTTAACTCATCAATGATGAGTCATCATCATCATGCTCGTATAAAACTGTTAGTAGGTTGCATGCATAAAAAGTTGCAACAATTTATCGACAAAATTATAATGCAGCGATTACGCGATCGTACCTGCAGAACAATCGATTCGTGTACGAAATTACATAGCACATTCTATCAACCGTCGTCATTAATAACGGGCAGTGTTTGTATTATAGGATCGTGTTGCAGTTCGAAACACGAGACAACAGTGTATCGTTACGCGTGAAAATTTTTCCGCGCGGTGCCATTCTATGCGTGTTCATCAAAATTTGATCAAAATTTGATCAAAATTTGAAGCGCGTCTGTTCATTGCACTCCGTTTCTACTTACTGCCGTGGACGAATACACCTGTTTTAGGTTAGTTTTCAAAGTCAATCTTTTCGAAAACGAAGTCTTAAACGAAAAAATTTTACTGTATATTTTCGACTTGCTTTTTGACGTAGCAACATCCACTGCTCGGTTGTATAACTAATTACACGACACTCTGTATTTCTAATGATGTAGGATGCACACGAGTAGGGATGACAACGATGTATCGATATTATGAGAACATCGACGTTTTCTGTCAGTGCATCGTGTTTTCACCATCGACGTTTGGAAATCGATAACATCGATACCAACGACGTTTTTTTTCATGGATTTTCTCCTTTGAATCTGTTGTGTACAGCGTGTAGCATGAACTTTAGAAACCTGAAGTTCCAGCGTGTGGCATGGACTTTATAAGGGTGAAGTTCGAGCGTGTGGCATGGACTTTAGAAGCGTGAAGTTCGAGCGTATGGCATGGACTTTAGAGGCGCGAAGTTTGAATCAAACTGAATGTAAATAGGGAAATGAATTAGAGTTGAAGTTGGCGTAAATTGGAACGGTTTGAAATCAATTAGGGATTATTTAATGAACATATTTCAAAAGCTGGTTTAACAATAACTCAACGAAGAAATTGTTCTTCGAGAACGATGTTAAATAAATTAGTATTTTTAAATACTGTACCCGATAAATATTGGACTTTACAAAAAATGTATTGAAGAAACTAAGCTGCAAAATAAAAATTTAGATGAAATTCATGGCAAACTCTCCAATTTTAAACAAATTTAAAATATATCGATGCTACGAACATCGATGTTTTCTTCCGATGTATCGATTAACGTCCATAGTAATTGATCGATGGCAGTTGTATCGATACATCGATGTGTGATTTTTAGATCGATTCTTGGATTTTTGAAGAGAATCGATTCAAGAATCGATTTTTTAAAGTGAATCGAATATGCATAGGCTATAGGACAGTAAAATCCTCGGAAGCGGTAATATTTCGAGAGCCCCTTCCATGCTAAGTTCTGCCGTCGTAGCCCCGGCCCCAGCGTCTGCGCAAAGACTGAATTGCTCTGGTTGGGACGACGTGCGTCACGTACTGAGAGAGCAATTTTGTGCGTGTGAAAGTACGTGTGGAGGGGAAGTGCTTCGCGCGGCAATATACAGAACGACCATATACCAAGAGTCCACTATAGGAGGTACCCAACACAAATGGACCAAGCTGTATCTTTGAAACGGTAGAAGATAGAACAAAATTTCATTAGACAAACTTAAACGGTTCAATATGATGCATCACGCGAGGCATGTTTCTGCTCCGGAAGATGCGGCATTTCAGAGATTTAAAGGTCACTGCTATTTCCTTGAATAGAATTATATATTTTTATATACGTTAATAAATGTATCATGTTACTCTCTACAAAAAAGTATTAAGGAACATGTGTCGAAAAATGATTAGGAACATGGGACACCCGGTGTATAGCGGTAGTTATGAAGAGGAATGGGGCAAGCGTGCAGTTCCCGCGTAAAGATCGTTTATTTGCAAAATAACGAGATTAAATCAGAAAAAAGAACTTTCGCAATACATACGGAAGGTGTCGCCACGAGTCCACGATTCTCGATCCTGGGATCGTTGAAGCGATAACGATACGTCGCCTAGTACATCGTACGGAGTCAGGTTATCTGTGTTTGTCGAAAAACTTGGGGGTATCGCAAACAATATATCCCAGGCGGCGTTATGTTAATGTTAGTAGTAGTACTCGTGTCAACAAATCCCGTCAAAGATAACGAACAATCGAATTATTTGATGGCGCGATAAAAAATGATCGCACACGATCACGCTGGATGGCGTGGAAGCTTTCCACGAGTAGCTCTTGGGTTTACGCACATGTGACGATGGCGATCTGGTGTTTAAGACAATCGAGACAATACTTATCGGTCCGATTGTTAACAGTAATTGGGATACACGTGCATACATGTATGCTCTATTTAAGAAGATACCTGGTGGTTTGATTTAATTTGTAGTCTATAACAATTAAATCTCTCTTCCAGAACGGTGAACAGATGGTTCAAAAATGTTCATAGAAACGGGTGCTCTGTTTGACGATATATCCTCGAGTTACCGCCATTTCTGTACTTAAATAATTATTAATAACTGAGCACACAACGACCACACGTCACTAAATCCTAAATAAAACAACTCCACCGTACTGTGAGCCCTGTCAACGAAGATTAAACATTAAACACATTCTATCAGATTGTAAGAGTACCTGATACGTAATATTCAAGACATTTTTAAAACGAAAAAAAATCTCGAAAAATCAATCGAACTTATCCGTAGAATAAACTTCTGTTGTGAAATATAGAACAACCACCGACTGTAATCGCTAATAACAAAGAAATTTATAGGACCTTAACCCTTATGTGGGCAACCAAAATGTCCGCGGTGATTGAACAATTACCGTTAACGTGAATATAACGAAATGCATTGATTGTATACAAAGAGATTCTGACGTAAGCTACACACAAAGTGAAAGAGCCGTGTGCCACGTGGATATGCAACACGGATACACGTGGTGCTCAAGCTTTCGTAAAACTGTTGTGTGTCTCAATACTTGGCTCAATAGAGGGTGTGCTGGTAACTGAAACACATTTCGGGTCGGATAGCACCCGCGTATTTTTATCGTGATTGGATCGCGATCTCGAATTGCCATATAGGTCGATTCTAGAAACTGTAACAAAGCTACAACGTTCTTTTATTCTTTATAGAGAAAATAGAACAAATAGTTGATTGAATAAGTTTCATCTTTCTGGTAATTGAATTTTGTTGGATGGATATCTACAGGATGGCGCATAAGTCACGTTACCGTTTAAAATTACAATAGATTTTTAGTTTGTTAATTATTTGTAATTTTAGGATTGTTAAATTTTTAAACGATAAAATGACTTATGGGCCATCCTGTAGAAGTAATTTCTGTTATTTTTTCGAAGGCTGTAAGAAATAATATTGTCGTTATTACACCAGAATAATGTTTTTCTTCTGTTGTTATTTTAAAAAAGAGAGCTATAGATTGTTTTAACATTTATCTACTCTTATAAATATTTCATACTGTAATAAGATTGATTAAACTTAGTTCATAAAAATCTAGATTTTCTCAAGTTTAAAAACCGTTTTCTCAAATTTAAAAAACAATTCCATTCGTTTAAATAATTATAATTAGTTATATATCTATACAGTTTAGTTAACTAAACATGGAATATATATATTACAATTACGATTGTAATCAATGCACTGAATGCAACGTTATTCTATGAAACAGTCAAATGTAAAATTGTATTTGTTCTTTTTGGTTTTATAAAAAAACAAACCCTTTCAATGTTTGTCTTTTTTGACATACAGTTGAAAAACGAAAGATCAACCTAGCTGTCGTTTCGACGATGTTTGCAAACAAAATTCTTCGCTCCAACCTGCGTTTCAAGAATAAAAGAGAATGGCACGTTGCCACCCATGTTGCGTGGCTATTTTGTCGCCATCGTGACTACACGGTTTCGCGAACGTACACACCCAGAACGAATAATTCATGCCGGCCGGGGCCATCAATCTGTCAGCTGCGAAAGGCAGGAATCAATTGAGTTGCCATGTAAAACGTAATATACATGTGGCAGCAACGCCGACAGTCGACAAATACGGTTACTTTCGATCAAGAAACTCGATCATTCTACTTCTATACGTCTACACAATTTCACAGTAATAACATTAGTAAACAATTTCATTATAATGTGCAAGATAACACGAGCTCATTGTAAAGCGGTGTGTTCGCACTATATAACACTGTGACAAAGTAAAATTATAAAACTTGTAAACAAAAGAAAAAGACAAATGTTAACACGATGTTGAAAAACAGTTTTCGTTTTACAAACTTATTAAAAAAATTTTTTAAACTTGTTACGATATAGAGGATATACTATCTGGTAACAAATTATAAGAATATGTTGTACAACAAAGTTATAAAAAAATGTGTTGTACAATAACGTTTTTTTTATATGGTGTAGATCCAATTTAACAGAATGAAAAACAGAAATAGGGAAGTATCGAATTTGAAACTAAACCAAAAAGTAAGAGTGGTAAAGGTAAAATTGTATAATGGGTTGGACTCGACCAAACAGTTATTACTGAGCCTACCCAATTTTCAGGCTTCAAATTTTAATTTTAA